CCAGTTAGCTTTCCCAGAGGTTCAGCCCTTTGACTAAAAAAAGCAGGGGCGTATGCCCAGGAACCGCGACTGTGGTCCCACCCGGTCACTGTCAATAGGCTTAAGGGTATATCTCCTCGAATTCCTACGATCACATGGGATTCTCACTACGGAGCTGTGAATTGAACTCTAGGTTGCCCAGGGTTCTCAGCTGGACCCTGGAGGTGCCGAACACCAAGAGGGGAAACCAAGGGCCCTACAGCCTGGGTACTAAATGGGCCAAGATCTGCAGAGTTTGAGATGACAGCCAGGCCCTGAGAGATGTAAACTGAAGGCTAGGATTAGGAATCTTGGTTCCCCTTTTTGGTCCCCTCAGGGATTGTTGACTCCATGTACAGAAGGGCAAAAATAGGGGCTCAGAGCTGAATTGCTCGGCCCAGGGCCCACGGCAAGCAGGCGTGGCCTCATCTGAAGCCAGGGTCACTGATTGTAACGGGTCAGGGCTGCTGAACACCCCCCTGGGGGGGGGCCTGGCGGCTTCAGCAGTGCCAGCCCTGACTTGGGCTCTCAGCCATGATGTCACCGCTTGAGGCTGGCCCAGGAATGAGTTCCACAGGCTCTGTGCTGACAGCCTGGAGCCTGGAGCCTGTTTCAGCCCTGTGTCTCTCTATGCCTCTCCCCACGCACTCTCTGTCTCTGTCTCAAAAATAAATAAACATTAAAAAAATTAAAAGCTTTCTTTTTTCTTCCTTTTTTTTTTCTCTCTGTGCTATTTCAAACTGCAAACACCCATGATTTCTCCAAACTCAACACACACCCCTCAGACCTCAGGCAAGGGAGTGCTTGTTCAAAGTCTCAGCTTTTGAGGACCTCCCCGGGCCACCCCTGGCTGCCAGAGGGGTCCTTGGGGGGCCAAGGAGTTGTGCCCACGAGAATCTCACACTTCCGTTGGAGAGATTATGTTCTGAGAACTGTGTAGAGAATAATGCCTCTAAGATACCCACAACTTAATATTTGAACCCAATATGGTGATGTGGACAAACAGTTATCTCGGAGTGGGGAGATTATCCTGATTATCTGGGCGGACTGTAATCGCTTTGGCACCTTTTCAAGAGGGAGGGAGAGGAACCGCCAGAGAAGAGATGACAATGTGAACAGTTTCAGGGACGAGGCCATGGCTGGAGGGATGCGGGAGGAAGGAGGTGATGCGGAAGGCAAACAGATTCATGTAGGGATGGGCGAGCCGTCTTCCCCCAGGGCGGAATTTCTATCTTGAACTTGTTTTAGCCTCTCTGTTTGGTGTTGTTTTAAGTTTGCTTCTATTTATTTTGAGGGAGATAAAGCAGGGAGGGGAGGGCAGAGAGAGAGAGAGAGAGAGAGAGAATCCCAAGCAGGCTCCATGCTTACAACACAGAACCCACATGGGGTTCTAAACTCACTAACCGGAGATTATGACCTGAGCAGAAACTCATTGGTATGGAGCTAACCTGACGGAGCCACCCAGGCGCCCCCAAAGTCTCGGTTTAAAAAGAAAAGCCTGTTACCCAACACACCTCGAGTTCGTATGGCTCAAGGGAGGGTGAAGGAGAAGGGGGGTACAGATCTCTGCAGGGGTGGGGCGTGGGGCAGAGAGAACAGCAGTGAAGAGACAGGAGGGGAAAGAAAGAAGAGGTGACTCATGAGAAGGTGCTCCCGTTCTTGGTATCAGAAGTGAGAGGTCTGCAGGGGAAGGAAGCCCCGAGCGGACACAGGCAGAGGTGGAGACAAGAGAGGTGGACTTCCACTCAGCCAGGGGTCAAGACAGACGGCGGAAGGACAGCCCCTGAGAAGGAAAAGATACACGGGAGAGGCTTCTCGGTGGCAAAACACAAACTGCACAAGGGCAGGACTCCGGCGGACGGCTTGGCTGGCACAGTCTCCCTTTGCGACCTCTCCCTCTGCCATCGTCTACAACGGCGGCCCGAAGGCTAACGCACTCAGTTTCCCAGCCTCCTCTGCAGCTAGCAGTGACCATCTGGCACACGCCCGCGAAACAGCCAGAAGTTCCCCCAGAAAGGCATACTCTCCCCCCACTAAAAAGGCAAGGCCTTGCCAGGAGGAAGTCCTCCACAATTTCGCGCTTCCTCCGCCTTCTTGCCTGGAACCAAGGCTGCAGCGCGGCAGCAGCCATCTTGTGACCAGGAGGCAATCACAGTGAGCAAGAAGGTCTAGGCTGGAAGGATGGCGGAACGAATACGTGGAAAGGGCTGGGATCGTTGATGGTATCTTTGAGCTGTCATGCCCGCCTTGGACTTCTTACTGAGAGAGAAAAAGACACCTCTGTCTGTTTCCTCCTAAGGATTCATGCAACTTACCTCTTGTGTTGTCTATTGTTATCCAGTGCAGGAACTGTGCCTGGCACAGAGGTGGTGCTCCTTAAAACATTTCAAAAGGAACGAATGACTTGCACGTTCTCACAAAGACCTCGGTTTCCCGTCTGCAACAGGTTCTGAGCGTCCCATCCCCCACCCCGCCGCTTTGCGATGCGTACCCAACATTTTCCTTCAACCGGATCGGTTAGCTTTCTTTTCAAAAATTTCAATCGAGACAGAGCGGTAAAAAACAATTCAGTTAGGAGTGGCTACTTGAGGTGTGAGCAGAGGGTGGGCCTTGGGGACGGTGACCCAGAGGACGCGATAGCTTCCACCCTGGTCCCGCTGATGCCCGACCATCCACTGGCCACAGGGCAGCCAGAAGGGGCATTTGCAAACAGAAATCAGATCACACCCTTCCCCTGCCTAAATTCCCCCCTCTTCATGGCTTCTCACTGCCCTTCGAAGAAAACCCAGCCCTGACCTCAGCGTCAGGTCCCACACCCGTGTCTCACTCTCATCTTCCCCTCGGTCAGCTCTCTGCCCTACAGCCACAAGACCACTCCTGTCTCAGGCCCTTTGCACAACCTGTTTCCTCTGCCTGCAAGCCTCTGCCTCCGTAAGTCCACCCGGCTAACCCTCACGTCCTCTGGGGCTCTGCTCCAGTCACCTCCTCGGAGAGGCCCGCCCTGAACACCTTGGTGAATATGTCCCAATTCAGACGCGCCCTAACTCACCCGCACTTTCTGGAGCAATCATACTGATTTCTCCATTTGTGTGTTTCTGGTTCATTTCCCATCTCTGGACTCTAAGCTCCCCCAAAGCCGGGATTATGGTCTGTTTCTTCACTAGCCTGGCATAGACTAGGGGCTAAGGAAATATATGCACTTTGAATAGTGCAATCGAGGAGGAACAGGGAAGACAGTTACTGTGCCCAGCTTTGTTATAACCTTGGTCTGTACTTTGGAGCCTGAACTTAACTTTATCCCTGTGATTTGGGAGGCTGAAGTTAAAAATATATATATATATATATTAAAAAGACAAGGGGCGCCTGGGTGGCGCAGTCGGTTAAGCGTCC